CCCCTGCTGCAGCACCCAGGCCCCCCTCAGCCCTTTGGCCTCCCTCCCCAGGCCTCCCAGGCAGCAGCTCACCCTCACACCTCCCTGCAGCCTCCAGCTTCTCAGTCAGTCTTGCAGCCCCAGCAGCCCCCAAGGGAGCAGCCCCTGCCACCCGCACCCTTGGCCATGCCTCACATCAAGCCCCCACCCACTACGCCCATCCCCCAGCTGCCAGCACCACAGGCCCACAAGCACCCACCTCACCTCTCAGGGCCCTCACCCTTCTCCATGAATGCCAACCTCCCTCCCCCTCCAGCACTAAAGCCCCTGAGCTCCCTGTCTACACACCACCCCCCTTCGGCGCACCCCCCACCACTGCAGCTCATGCCTCAGAGCCAACCACTGCCCTCCTCCCCCGCCCAGCCTCCCGTGCTGACCCAGAGCCAGAGCCTGCCCCCTGCTGCTGCCGCCCACCCCCCTCCAGGCCTCCATCAGGCGCCCCCTCAGCCCTCATTCGCTCAGCACCCCTTTGTCCCTGGAGGCCCGCCTCCCATCACCCCTCCGTCCTGCCCCAGTACCTCCACTCCACTCCCGGGACCTGGCCCGTCAGCCCAGCCACCCTGCTCTGCTGCCGTTTCTTCAGGAGGCAGCACACCTGTGGGGGCAGCCTGCCCGCTGCCCACTGTCCAGATCAAGGAAGAGGCTCTGGACGATGCCGAGGAGCCCGAAAGCCCCCCTCCACCACCGAGGAGCCCGTCCCCCGAGCCCACTGTGGTGGACACCCCCAGCCATGCCAGCCAGTCAGCCAGGTATTGTGTCAGGAAGCTGGGCGGCCCAGGGCAGGCCTCGGCCTTGGCAGAGCCCAATGGCAGACGTGGCCTTTTCAGGTTCTACAAGCACCTGGACCGGGGCTACAACTCGTGCGCACGGGCCGACCTGTACTTCATGCCTCTGGCGGGATCCAAACTGGCCAAGAAGAGGGAGGAGGCCATCGAGAAGGCCAAACGAGAGGCCGAGCAGAAAGCGAGAGAGGAGCGGGAGCGGGAGAAAGAGAAGGAGAAGGAACGCGAACGGGAGCGCGAGCGCGAGCGGGAGGCTGAGCGAGCGGCTGTGAGTGCTCCGTTTTTTTGCGTGTGCAGGGAGGGGGCGCTGGCCGTGCCAGGCCGGGGACACTGGCCACCTGCTCTGTGTGAGGCTGTTTGTTTTACTGTCATGGCAGCTGGAGGATCCAGTGCTATTTGAGCCCCATCCTAGGCTTTTCAGAGATGGTTGCTCATCCCGGAGCCAGCCCAGGACCCCCTCCCCCAGAGGCTCACCGTGCACCTCCTCCTTTCCCAGGACCCCCTCCCCCAGAGGCCGTGTACCTCCTCCTTTCCCAGGACCCCCTCCCCCAGAGGCTCACCGTGTACCTCCTCCTTTCCCAGGACCCCCTCCCCCAGAGGCCGTGCACCTCCTCCTTTCCCAGGACCCCCTCCCCCAGAGGTTCACCATGCACCTCCTCCTTGGCCCTGGCAGGTTCAGACTGGTTGACCAGCAGCCTGTAGACATGTAATTGGAGGGAACTGCAGAGAAACTGAAAGGGGGGGAGAGCCAGGCATTGGGGCGTTAACCTGCCTCATCCGCGCCCTCTGGCGGCCCTAGCTGGGCACTCTCGTGGGCTAGGCCACCCAGCGCCTGCCCTTGTGGGGGGGACCCCTCCCATGCAGTGCCTTGTCTCACAGGTACATGAACCCATTCAGGACACAAGGGAAGCTGCAGGCACAGAGGAGACCGTCACAGGGGGTCTGGGCCAGGTCCTTGTCACAGGCCGTGGCTGAGGCCGCTCGGTGTTGGGGTGGAGGGACCAAGTTGACTGGTCAGTGCAGGATGGCCACAGGGCAGAGCTCACCTCCCCAGGACACTAGGCAACTGGTCTCCCCCCACACCCTCTGTTTCCTCAGCAGAAGGCGTCCAGCTCAGCACATGAGGGCCGCCTCAGCGACCCCCAGCTCGGTGGTCCCAGCCACATGCGGCCATCCTTCGAGCCACCGCCAACCACCATTGCTGCTGTGCCCCCGTACATCGGGCCGGACACCCCTGCCCTTCGGACTCTGAGCGAGTACGCCCGGCCCCACGTCATGTCGCCCACCAACCGCAACCACCCCTTCTACATGCCCCTCAACCCCACTGACCCGCTGCTGGCCTACCACATGCCCGGCCTCTACAACGTCGACCCCACCATCCGGGAGCGGGAGCTCCGGGAGCGGGAGATCCGAGAGCGGGAGATCCGGGAGCGGGAGCTGCGGGAGAGGATGAAGCCGGGCTTCGAGGTGAAGCCTCCTGAGCTGGACCCCCTGCACCCAGCCACCAACCCCATGGAGCACTTCGCCCGGCACAGCGCCCTCACCATTCCCCCCACTGCGGGCCCCCACCCTTTTGCTTCGTTCCACCCGGGCCTGAACCCCTTGGAGAGGGAGAGACTGGCCCTGGCGGGCCCCCAGCTGCGGCCCGAGATGAGCTACCCCGATAGACTGGCAGCCGAGCGGATTCACGCCGAGCGGATGGCATCGCTGACCAGCGACCCTCTGGCCCGACTGCAGATGTTCAACGTGACTCCACACCATCACCAGCACTCACACATCCACTCGCACCTCCACCTCCACCAGCAGGACCCCCTCCACCAAGGTAGGTGTCCGGGCTGCTGAGAGGGCACTGTGGGTTGGCTCTGGGGTGAGGAGGTGCGGCCCAGAGATGGAGCCGCCGGCCCAGAGCAGAGACTGTTCTTTTCTAAACGAGCCCTGGTTCCAGGCCGGTCCTAGAACGTCCAGCGTAGAGCATGCCGTGAGCTCCGAGGAATCACTGCCACTACTCGGGGCAGCCTGGGTCTGCTCAGCCCCCAGCTCTGCAGAGCTGCAGGTCCCCAGAAAGCTGCGCCACCCTGCGCCCTTCTGCCTGCGCCTCCGGGATAAAGCTTAGTTTCTCGGCCCTGGGCCGGGGTGGGCCCGGGAGGAGAAGCAGCCTGTGCTCACCGGGCAGGTTTAGGGCAGGAGGCAGGGCCTGCGGACAGGGAAGGCCTTGGGAGCCAGCTGGAGCCACTGGGACACCCAGAAAGGCAGGCTGTGGTCTCCCTGCCCTCTTCGGGAACGAGGCCTAGGCTTCCGGCTCAGCAGCCAGGGCTGCCCAGCCCTGCTCGCCCTGGGGGTGAGTGCCTGCCTGGCCAGCTTGGGGTGCAGGCTGGTTTGAGGCAGGTGGGGAGGGGGTGCTCTGACCCTGCTCTGGAGTGGGCAGTGTGCCTGCTCCCTGGGACCAGGGCTGCGGTGGAGGGACTTCCTCCTGGACTGACCTCCATGCCAGGGAGGAGGACGGCTGATAGAGCAGGACGCAGGGGAGGGAGGGCTGCACCTGGCTTCCTCTCCGTGTTCCCAGCCCTGACAGGTGGGCCCAGGGAAGCCAAGGAGCTGTCATTTGCCACCTGGAAGTGTCATGCCACCCAGTGTGGGCCTTCTAAGCCGCAGTGTGACCAGCAGACCGCCTGGCGCTGTAGGATAAGCAGGCCGTCGTACACTCATTGGCCAAGTGTTTGCCGAGCACTTGTGATGTGCAGGCGCAGCTGTAGGTGCTGGCCAAGCCCGTGCACGTCCACTGTCGCAGGCTGGGAGGCATCTGTGGACGAGCCTGGGCTGTGGGAAGGGTCAGTGTCCGGAGAAAAGTGAACCAGGGAGGGAACAAGGCAGGAGGCGATGCTGCCGTTACAAGAAGGAAGCGGGCAAAGAGGGGAGGCACTGGAAAGAGCATCTCTAGGCAGAAGGAGAACTCGAGGGAGCCAGCGATGACTGCAGAAGGGAGAGCCCGCCGCGCTGAGCCCGCCCCTGCCCACAGCAGTCTGCTGGCCTCCTTCGGGCTCTGGGTACAGGCAGCCTGGACCAGGAATGCTGGCTGGGCGGTCGGCCAGGTGGGCTCTGCTGGTCCAGGGTCCAGCCCGTCGGGTGCTCAGTCCGCTCTGCACTGGGTGTCACTTCCCGGAGCTCCACTGCGGGCGAGTGGGGAGGCCGAGGACAGTCACTTTGGGTCAAGGTCACGGGTCCTGGTGGTGAGGAGGATGCCCTGGGTTCCAGCCAGGGAGGGCAGCATCGGAGAGCCCTGCGCCCACCTGTGCCTGGACTTGTCCCTTCTTCCAGGTTCAGCAGGCCCCGTGCACCCGCTGGTGGACCCCCTGACTGCTGGCCCTCACCTGGCTCGCTTTCCCTATCCCCCTGGCACCCTCCCCAACCCTCTGCTTGGACAGCCCCCCCATGAGCACGAGATGCTTCGTCACCCAGTTTTTGGTAAGACTGCACCTGGGAAGGCCGGGTCCGGTGAGGAGCTGGTTAGTGGTCTGGCCCGAGGGCCCGGTCATTCGTTGGTTCATGTGTTCAACACATGTCCCCTCAGTGGGGGGGGAGCACGGGTGTAACAGGAACCCAGGTGGGAACCGTCGGAATGAAGGAATAACAAAGGCTCCACATTTAAATCTGAGACTTAGGAAGGTGGGCCTCTCTGAAGAAGAAACACTAGGCTGAGGCCCACTCAGCAGGGGGAGGAGGGGCGGTACTCGGGCACCCCTCCCCCAGGGGTCTCCTGGCCTCCTTGCAGGCCTTGGCCTTGTCTTGGCCATTCCCCTGGACTCTCTGTTCAGGAGACTGTTTTGTGTTTGGCAGGAACCCCCTACCCCCGAGACCTGCCTGGGGCCATCCCACCCCCCATGTCAGCGGCCCACCAGCTGCAGGCCATGCATGCCCAGTCGGCTGAGCTGCAGAGACTGGCCATGGAGCAGCAGTGGCTGCACGCACACCCCCACATGCATGGCAGCCACCTACCAAGTCAGGAAGATTATTACAGGTGAGGTGGGGAGGGGCCTGAGGGAGGGGCAGGCTGGCTGGGCTCCCACTTACCCCCCACCCCCTGCGGGCCACGGCCCCAGCCTGAGGGCCCCCCTTCCTGGCTGTGCCCACGATGCTCCTCCCCTATCAGCAGGCATCAGGCTCCTCCCCTGGCTACATGTGGCCCTAGAGGGGACCCCCATAGAGCCTTCTTGGGGGGTGGGGCGGGGCAGGCCAACTGCTTGGGAGCCCCCATCTGGTGCTGAAGTCGCTCTTCTCTGCTTCTCTTTCCAGTCGACTGAAGAAAGAAGGTGACAAGCAGTTATAAGTTATTTATTGTTAACGCTGGCTGTGGAAGCCCCAGTCTTGGGGGGATAAACAGGACTTTTTACATACAATAGGAGCTGCAAAAGCAAAAGAATATCTTCTAAAGATTTCTTTCTATATTTAAAAGCCCACAACTAAAACTGTGTCAGCATAATAGTGTGTGTTTGTAGAGAGGATTCCTTGAGACTGGTTTGGGTCTCCCTGCATGACAGTCCCCCAGAAACTTAGTGAGTCCTGGACTGGACTGAACATTCAGAAAACTACCCAGCAATCTTGGGGTTCGGCTTTCGTCTCCTTCCCTTCCTCGACTTCTCAGTAGGTGCTAGAACCCAGTCACCCCCTCACTGTGCGTGCAGACACACTCGGTCACATGTGTGCCAAAACCCGCGGGGTTGCAGAAATAGGTGGCATATGAGTTTGGAATCCAAGAGCTATAATTTTTGAAGAATCTTTTATTTTACTACATTGTTGGAAATCTTCATAATTTGAGAAAGTTCTGCAGCACGGCTTTTTACGTCTGTAAATAATTTTAGAGCAGCCTTTTTTTTCCTTCCACAAACTACTGTTCCGATCTATTTTTTCCAGCCATGTCACTAATTGTGAATTCCTATCGGCTATTGACAGAATACAGAGTTGATTTTTTAATAAAAAGTTATATATAATTATCCCTTTAATTAAAGGGGACAGATGGGCGTTGCTAATTACAAATGGGCAAAAGCTTGGGCCTGGGTTTGGTCGCAGCAGTGAGCATCCAGGGTTTTGCAGGGACAATGTTACAAGCGGTTTTTGTTTCGCTGCTTTGGTTTTCCACTTCTGTCTGTTCCTGGCTTGTGCGTGGCCAGCGGTGCAGACATCTGCCAGATCGGACCTCCTGGCATTGCACCAGGAGCGCAGGCGTTAAATGTCCACCGTCCTGTGTCTGCCGGAGAGAAAGCACATGTTTCTGTGTGTGGTTGCAGATCTCCTGACAGGGTTCTAGGCGCACGTGTTTGATTGTTCTGTCCGAACTGCCCTTCTCACTCTGACAACCGCATAACATTCTCGGAGTGATTCCCTACAAGTAACTCCGCACGTGTGCTGGCCAGAGGCTCTGTTAGCCGTCTGCCGTTTCATGTGTCCACGCGATCTCGTCAGGCCGGGCCGTCCTCGCCACAGCCCGGGGCTGCTGTCCGGGTGGGAGAGGCCCCGGAGGTGGCACGGCCGTGGGTGGTGGCCTGTGTGTCTACCAGGAGCCTGGTGACCGTGTCCGACTGGGACACCAGTTGAGTCCCACCCTTCATCCCGAAGTGGGAACTGGAGTGGCAGCCGCACACATGGAGGGGAAGGCGGGCTTCCCTGGGAGGTGCCAGCTGGGGGCTCGGCCTTCTGCGTGGCCGAGGGGGAGCCTGGCTGCCTGCACCTGTTCCTGCCAGGCGGGACCTTTTCCTTCCTCTCCCCTCAGGTTCTTGAGGGCTGTTTCTGCCGTGGCATGTGGTGGCCACATCCAAGAATTGTCAGACAAGAGCATGTCTGTGGGCCGGGGGATGTGAAGTACGTCCAGGACCCGAGCCCCATGGGTAGGAAGGGAGGCTGGCGCTGGGACCAGACACCCAGGTGTCCGCGCAGGTCCGGGCATTTCCCATCCCTGCTCAACCGCCTTTGCTTTCAGTTGGGACAGATAGAGGATTGTTTTATTTGTTGAAAATGTTTGTAGTTTTTTCATTAGTTTTCTTTCATTCCATTTCTGCCTTAAATTTAGCTCCTTACAGGGGAGACAAGCTCAAATGAACCCTTTGTCATCGGACCTGTGGCTGCGTTGGCAGGGGCATGCGTTCCTCGGGGGCGGTGGCTGCTGTCTGGCCGCTGCTCCTGGGGGCCTGCCCGTCCGAGGCGCCCGCTGCCCCCCAGCCTCCCGCCTCTGCCCCACCTTCTCCCGTCCCTCGTTTTACTTCTGGTAGAACCCGGCCTGCCGTTCCGTCAGGCCCCTTCGTCTCCTCCCCAGCATCCATTTTTCCAAAGAAGAGGGAGGTTAGTGCTTTGAAGTCTGTTGAAAGCTGTGGAAGGCGAGTCTGTCAGGCTGGTTCCCCACATCCGTGGTGAAGCACTGAGCTCCCCCAGTCCGAGGCCCTCGCCTGGCCAGCTGCCGCGGAGGGGCCCGGCCTTCGCGGGGTCTTTGAAGCCCGGCCCCTTGGTTTCCTTCCTTTGTTTGAAGTTCGGTTTTGCTTTTCTGTGTTTTGTATGTATCTCGTTCCATGTTGTCAAGGTTGCGCTTCAGGCCTCACGCAGCGGCTGCAGAGCGAGGTGTGCCCGGCGTGCCGCGTGTCTGTACCTTGAAGCTAAATGTACATATGAGTAGTTTGCCGTGAGCTAACACAGTGTGAGCAGCGTAGACACCAGAGATCGTGACTTCTGTGCTCTCTCCATTCGAGTATTTTGTAATTTTTTGGAAATATTTGTGGACATAAATAAAACCAAGCTACACTACAACAGCTGGGTGTCGACCAGTGGTGAGCCCGCGGCCTGTGTCTCGTTCCTGGGGGCGGGTGGGGTGTTGGCTGTTGGCCCTACCTGGGTCCCCCTGGGTGGGGAAGGGCGGAGGGGGCATCTGGTGCCCTCAGCTGTTGCCAGCAACTGCTCACCTTTCAAAGCAGCTTCTGGAAAGGTCCACGTCGGCTCTGTCTGGGAGGGAGGTGAGTACACTTGTTCTCGGGAGACACTCCCACCTGCCAACTTGAGATACTCGATCTGCACGAGGCTCCCCACCCGCAGAATGGGCCCCAGGGTGGGTGCACTGGGACCAAGGCACCCTCTCCCAGGTCCGTCCCCCCCGCCATCACCCCACCCTGCTGATGGGTGGGCACCCGCCAGGTGTGTGGCCTGTGCACGGCCTCTTCCTCCCGGGTTCCTCCTGCCCTGCCCCTTCCTGCCTCCCCTGTGCTGCCCCGGCTCGCGTGGCCCTGCTCACACCCAGACCCCGAGGGGGAGCGGAGGAGGGGCAGCCAGCTGCGGGGCCCCACACTCTGGGTCGTGGGTAAGAAGGGGGCGGGGAGGGAACTGGGCAGCAGGAACCCAGGTGCCATCTCTGCTGGTCTCAGAGCGGCGGGCTGTTGGTGAAGCCGGCTTCAGTGGGCACATTCATGAACTGCAAATGGGAACGTAAACGCCAAGACGCGTCTGAATGGGCAGTAGTTACGCTGGAGAAAGGCCTTGTCAGCCGCACAGGTCTCAGTTTCCCAGGTGCGGACTGGCCATGGGCACCACCTGCCGCGCACCCGCCTCTGCCCTGACGGTACTGTCAGAAGCTCGGGCAGAGTCTGCTGACACTGTGGCCTCTGGTGAGCCCCTCGGGTGTGGACACCCATGTGGTGAATTAGGTGGAAAATAGAATTTTGAGGCACTTCTTAGGCAGCCCTCAGCTTGCCAAGGTCCCTTCCCAGGTCCTCGCCGGCACTTCCAGTCTTGGCCACCAGGGGGCAGTCTGTAAGGTCCAGGCAGCATCTCGGGCTGCCAGCCCCTGGTGACGCCTGCGGGTTAAGGTCCTCCTCCCCTTCCCTGAGATGCTCCAGGAGGGAGGTGTGGGTGTGGTGAGTATTTTGTAAAATTGACATTTCCTGGAGGCAGGGAGCTGGACATAAAAGGGCAACTGGGACAGGTCACAGCAGGGAAGGGGCCTGGGGGCTGCGGTGGGGCGGGCAGGACCCAGGCGTGGGTGTAATGACCATGAAAGATTCTCTTGTTCTCGGCTGCATCCCGGCGCCTGGCCCAGTGTTGGGACCTACACGGGAATTTCACGAGCTGGAAGAGCATCTTCAGTTGGGGGGGATTTCCAAGCATGACAGCCTCAGTACCCAACACGCACACGCACGCGCACACATGCACACACACACACAGGCACACAAAAGCCGGAGCTGCTGCCCCCGCGGGCCCTTGTGCCCCCAACTCGGGACCCCTCGCCTCCGAGTCTTCCAGGAGGAGGTGCTCAGCCAGGACGAGGCCGCAGCACGCGCCGTGTGGACCTGCAGACACTCGGGCTGGTGTGGTCAGTTCCGGCGCGTTCCAGGGAAGCACCTCCCTTCCCTCAACCTGTCAGATGCCGCCCGCCTCGGCCCTGTATCCCACACCGGGGCCCGGGGCTCGCCACCGCCTAGGAAGACGGCCGCTGTGGCTTTGCCATCTGTTCCCTCGACCGACGCGTGTCATCCTGGATGCTGTGACCGCCAAGGAGCACGACTGACCTTCAGGTTTGCTGAGGGGACACTCGCGTGGCTTCAACATCCGTGACCATCATGGCTTTTTGGTTTTAGCGACCCAGGACCGCAGAGCAAAGCTCGCTCTCCCTTTCCTGAGCCCAGAGCAGACGCAGTCAGGCCGCAGGGAGGGCCCGGCCTCCGGACGCTGCTATCGGGCCGGAGTCAGATCCCCGACTCGGGGTGCAGGTCTGCCGGGTGGGGTGGTGCTGTCCCTTCCTCGCGGCGGGAGGGAAGCGAGGCGTGCAGACAGCACCGAGCTCACGCAGGGCGGCCTCGGGCCTCAGCAGCCACCCAGCGCTGACGTCCCCACCATCACAGCTCGATATTCAGGTCGAGAGAGAGCTGCTCTGAGGGAACGAAGCAGGTGTGGCTCTCGGCGAGTCGGGCCTCATGGTGGCTGCCTCTGCGGTCGGCTGGGAACAGACCTGGGTCAAGGGCAGCGTTTGGGAGCAGGCCAAGGGGCCCGGCGCTCTGCTCAGTCACGGCCCCCAGCAACCAGCGCCCGACTCAGCAGCTCCTTAGGACGAGAGGCTGACGACAGCCGTTCCCACTTGCAAAGTGATCTTTGTTGATTTAGAAAGTTCTAGGAAGAGGGCCCAGGGTGTGGCGGACCAAGAGCGAGCAGGGAGCCCCTCGTTCCTCGTCTCTCACATTTGGCCATTCTACAGCAAAACAGCCCAGCCCAGGAACCCACACTCAACATTTTATTTTTTATCTTTATTGACCCCCCCCCCCCCATTAACATTTTCTAGAAAAATCTAAAGTCCTAAGCAATGTGAATGTGGGAAGGATGAGTCTGGAGTCCCAGGAAAGCATGGGACTACCAGGAGGCTCGAAGGAGCTGTGTGACTTTGGAAAGTCACTGAACCTCTCTGTGCCACCCACACATGGAGCAGGAATGATGAGACCTGCTTTGCTTAGTTCATGGTTCATAACCATGAAGGTAAAATGACATGATGTGAAGGCACAGGGCAAAGACTCACTGATTCCAACCAGTTGGGCTTCATGGAGGAGGTAGCATTTTAGGTCAACGTGGATGAATCAGAAATTGATGGGAAGAGACGAGGTGGAAAGACCTCGCCTGCGGGAATAGCATGAGCACAGGCATGGGTTGCGGCTGCCCCTGGGTAGGGCGCTGTGGCTGCCCCTGGATGGGGCGCTGAGGCTGCAGTATGGAGGCTGAAGCCGTGCAGAGGGTGGCGGGCATAGGAAGACGCTCAGGGTCCAGGCTGGGCACGAGGACTTGAGAATTGGCTCCTCGGGTACTGGGAGTCTAGAGGGTATTGAAAGGGGTGGGCTCAGACCTGCAGGGTGGAAGGTGGGCCATGAGGGTAGATCGCAGGCAAGGGGATGGGCAGAGGTTCTGGGCCAGGGCAAGGGGCACAGAGGAAGGACCAGACCCAGGAGCCTCCGGCAATGGCACTAAGGGAGCCCAGGGTCAAGTCAGAGGGCAGGCATCTGCTTCACCTCCTCGAGGTTCCCACCTGATGGAGCTTTTCACATCTGAGTGTTTTGCTGCCTGTGGTCCCTTGAACAGGCCAAGCAAGTTCCCACCTCCCATCTCAGATATCTTCCGCTCTTCACCAGGGCACGGTTCAGATGGCATCTCACCAGAGAGGCCACTCCCTTCTCTCTGGGGTAGCTCACTCCTGACCCATCACCAGGTCTCCCCTGCTCTTGTTTTTCACAGCACTTCACTGCCGTCCTCGGCATAGACCTCGGTGTATTCTGTCTCCTCTTCCACATCAGCTGAATGAGGGCAGACACTTGTTGCTCACAGCTCGATCTCCATTCTCACAGCACTTACCATTCTCTGCCTGCCATACCCAGGGAACTTGTGGATGGGTGGGTGGGAGGATGGATGGATAGGTGGGTGGGAGGATAGATGGGAAGATGGCTGGATGGGTAGATGGATGGATGTGAGAATGAGTGAATGAATGAATATTAGACCTGACCCCAAAGCATTGTATGCTCTAACTCTACTCTGGGATGCAATGTACAGTTAGGCCAGGCTCTGTCCACCTCAGCACTACTGACATTTGGAGATGGGTTTCAACTCTGTTGTGGGGGGCTGTACTGTGCATTGCAGGATATTTACAGCAACTCTGGACAGTAGCAGCCACCCAAGTTGTGACAACCAAAAATATCTCCAGATATGGCCAAAAGTCTTCTGGGGTGGGAGTGAGGGGCCACAGTCCCTGCCAGTTGATAACCATTGAGTTACACCTTAACCTTCAATAAATGATTCTTATTGCAAGAAAATATGAACAACTAAATGCCAACAAATTCGACAACCTGGTGAAATGAAAAAAATCCTAGAAACATACAATCTTCCAAAACTCAATCAGGAAGAATCAGAAAATCTGAATAGGCCAATAACAACTAATGAAATTGAAGCAGTAATCAAAATAGTCCCAGCAAAAAAAAGTCCTGGACCAGATGGCTTAACAGGGGAGTTTTACCAAACAGTCAAAGAAGAACTAACACCTATCCTCCCAAACTACTAGAAAAAAATTCAAGAGACTTCCAAGCTCTTTTTATAAGGCCAACATTATCCTAATTCCAAAACCAGATAAAGACACTACAAAGAAAGAAAATTACAGGCCAAAATCCCTAATGAACTTAGATGCTAAAATACTCAACAAAATATTAGCAAATTGGGTCCAACAATATATTTTTTAAAAGATTATATACTATGACCAACAGGGATTTATTCTGGGTATGCAAGACTGATACAATATTTACAAATCAAATATACATCACATAAGCAAAATGAAGGATAAAAATCACATGGTCATATCAACAGACAGAAACGGCATTGACAAAATCCAGCACCCACTTATGATAAAGACTATCAGCAAAGTGGGAATAGAGGGATCATACCTCAACATTATAAAGGCCATATATGACAAACCTACAACCAACATCATACAAAATGGACAAAAAATAAAAGCATTTCCCTTAAGATCAGGAACAGGACAGGGATATCTGCTTTCAAGAAGAAAAAAATCAAAGACATTCAAATTGGGAAGGAGGAAGTAAAACTCATTATTAGCAGATGACATATTGTACATAGAAAACCCTAAAGACTCCACCAAAAAACTGCTGTATTTAATGAATGAATTTGGCAAAATAGTAAGATACAAAATTAACACCCAGAAAACAATGGCATTTTTATACACCAATAGTAAACTCCCAAAGAGAAACTAATTTAAAAATCCCACTTACCATTGCAACAA